AAAAACCCAGCCGCCAAAAAGATTGTATTAAACTAGTAATAAAGCTTTAGAATAACAAATATATTTCACGAATATTATTATGCTAAAAGGAATAAATAATAATAATTGTATTCAATTTATCTGAATATTCATAACACTGAAGGCAGTACCTATAATCCAAAATTTAAGAACGTCATCATACATCTGACAAGATTGAACCCACCTATTATCAAACTTTAAATTAACAGCATTAGGTACCTGTTGAATGAAATTTCGGGAGGGGCTGCAGCCCATTAGGTCATCCCTTATATACACCACTGCATACAGCCATAGGTATTAAAATATCATAAAAATAGCAAACTTCGCGACACAGGTCATGTTGTTGACGTTAAGTTTGATACTAGGTAAATTCATTCTAATTTTTAGTACCACATATCATAATGAAAATATAATAATGTTCATATTATTTGTGCCAATATTAAATTTAACAACATACGTAGGGTTGGTTTGTAAATTTGGTATGTTGCGATTCGATCRGAGAGAAAACAAATAGTGTGCTGGTATCCACGTGAAGTGTTAGTGTTTTTGGCGTTTTCGTTTACAAAAAAATAACTGTACATACGTCATACATAGGGGGATACGTAGTGACAAGTAATGCACGCACATAGGCGAAACGAAACGAGACGACATACGAGTCGACAGTTATTATGATGGAAACGATTATAAATTATAATATTATAATTTACTAGTATATTATATTATGGAAGCCTATCTAACGTTGTAGATCATCGTCGTGAGACAAATGGGGTTTTTTTTAAACTTATTATAATAACGCAGATATACCTACTATTATACATTTTAATATGACCAGCACCCTCGATGGTATAATGTATTTTTATAATATCACGATATTATTTGTTAAACAAGTGGAAGTATTTGATTTCTGTAAAGTAGACGATAATGTAAATAATATATATTGTATAGATTTCTACGCGGTAGATCGATGACGATGATGAGGTGTATTAAGTGTCATCTTTACCTGTATCGTATATTATATTTACGTTTTGACGCTTCGATTTGTGTTCAGCAGTCGTCGAAACTCGCTACCACAATATTAATTGATTTATGAGTCCTAGTATAGTCTGACTAGTATTCCAGTAACCTATTTTCACATGACGGTTTTATTGACGGTCTATGATCCGAGCATCTGTATCTGTTTTTTACATACAAATGTAGGCATCGAGCGAATATGTCACGTCTTACCGTAACTCGTAAGTGATAATTAGCGCTTCTAGTTTTGCGATTTAACCTTTAACCATTTGTTTTTTATGCACACATGGCAGATCACGATTACACGACAATCGGACAACGTAATCGAATATAGTATTCCACTTACCTATATAAATGCGCACGTGTTAGGTACGAGTACTTTAAACATTATTCATCTTGCACCTGTTTTTTGACTCTAGGGGATCCCTGCTTATAATGACCGCGATTGGAACGGAAAATAATATTAACTTGGTAGTTGATATTAACCTAGCGTCTGTAATACGTACAGAAGTATATAATATGCGACGCACAGAACTGTCAGAACTCATCAACATAATATGTCATATACCCATATACGATGTACCAATCTTTAAGTCATAAAAAATATATATATTACCGACGGCCAAGGTCCGAATATATCGCATTAATATATTGTTAACCTCACGGTCGTTTAGTTGCACGAATAGGTATAATTTCATAATGCTCGTTTAAGATTTATATTAGACAACTTACTATAGTAGACTCTGTAAAGTAACCATAGTGACACTATTATAATATGCCACTGTCGCTGTAAATGTCAATTCATTTTTACCGTGTTTACCATCTATCATGGAAAACGTATTTCTAATAGTAGCTACTGCAGTAAGTACACGTAAGTTGAATTGACATTATTATTATACACCCAATTAAGTTTTCTAATGCTATAAATATCCTGCGTTTTTATATAAATAAAAGAAGCGTAATTTCTACGTTGTCAATATAATATTATTTTATTGTTGGCAAAAGTAATAGTAGGTACATAATATAATGCTGTATAATATTATTATCGTATTTTAAACTTGAACAATCTCCAGCTAGCGTCTTCATTCGACAGCGCGGCTTTAAAATGCACAGAGAAAGTGGTCGACTATAACTTTCCGACAAACTGCAGCAGCCTACAGCGCGCGGTCAAGTCGTACACTATTTTATGATAATTCGTGAAATCGCATCACAATCGTGTTTTAAATGATTTAATATCGGTTAAAGAAATACGTGTTTTTATTGAAGTCTTCAGTATAATAGATTATTGCCAGATGCGCAAATTAAGTGTTTTGGCATAATACTCCTAACCAACTATGTTCGACAGTGACATAACTATTAACTATACGTAATATTATTAAATTTAAACCCGAATTTAAATATAAAGTGGAATATATTATATATATATAATACTAGTTGTCTCTTGTCTACTTGATATATTTCAAGCTTCGTATACGGATTCATGTCGTTACAAATTACAAAAACAATTTAACAGACATGCACCTCGATCGATATTAATCGGTAAATTCGTAGGTGTTAATTATTATTATATTATGTCCAATGCACTAGGTATGTAGTGAATGAACTATGTGTTTCTACTATGTTTTAATGCACTGCATTAGATTTTAGTACAATATACTGTTATAAATTATAGTATTATGTAAAATAAATTTGTATGAATTTTCTAAGGTAATAAAGATCTAAACTTATAAAGTTTCCAGAATATATTTAAAAAAATAAAGTCGCAGAAACCTACCTAGAGCATTTCTAGTTCATCTTTATAACCCAAACCAAGGAATGTTAAGCCCGTTTTTCAAGACATATTTTGTTCAGTCGTTTTGTGCAGTACGTGCCACGAATATTAATTGCTTTTCCTACATAACTTACGTGCATTATTAAATATGCACTACCCAAAATAATATGTTCATCCTTGACTCATTACATTATTCCTAGAATATTTGCTTAGTTTCAAAGAATCAAAAATATATTTTAAACGTGTGATAAGAATAATTCGATCTTGTTTAAAGACAAGTTGACGATTGTAGTACGAATACCTATCATCTATTGTTTACAAACCCAAAGAAAAATAACTAGCGCGGCAATGAACATCAGTCGTCATCAAACAAACCACAGTATAATCATTTTAGATTACAACTTACAGCCTCAACAATATGTCAGAAATGAACAAATTATTGCAAGTCACAACTCACGGTAAGTTAATTAATAATGTAATATGACTCTTAGTTTAATGAAAAAATACCCGTAAAAATAGTAAATAGGTACAACAGTTTTGCAGCAAGTATGTATTATTATATACTGGTATACATCATGTTGTAAACAAAATATAGTTACCTAAGTCGATTTTTTTACTAAAATCTGTTATTATAAAAATTAGCCGTACTATAAGGCATAATATCATAATAACGAAGAAAACATTAATAGTCGTTTCCTAAATAGGTTTTGGTAAAACAGAAAGTATTTCGATAAAAATGAATGCTGGCTGTCAGTCTAACTTATAATTATTATTGTTTGCAGAGTAAAAAAATTTTGTTTCCGCTGACTACCACAGTATCTTTTTGGTTACCTATTTAACACGTGATAGTTGGCACTTGATATTACATTATTTTATACATTATCATGGTTTTAATTCGTTTAAGTAATGTGTAGTTGGTAACTAAATAGCAATTATAAAACAATTATTCGTTATAAATTAATTAATTATGTTAGTTTAATAATTTAAGCTTCATTCGTTTGGTAGAAATAAAGAAAAGTAAAAATTTTAGCAATTGAAATAATTATAGGTGTTGGTTAGGACTAATAGTCATGCTAACAATTAACATTCGCGTACCATAATCCATTAACATATCCGATTCATATCAAATATGTACCTAATTATTAAAATAAGAGTATAAAAATGTTTTTTAGATAATAATCGAAACATTATAATTATTTCAACAATTTCCTTATGTTAATGTATGACGTGTTTATTAATTCAATACAACGTTAGATATAGAATGTATTAATAAAAATAAACAAGATATTATAAATTTATAAATTGAAATGCAGTAAGGAATCATAACTTTTAAAGTACACAGAGTATGGCAGCCTCATAAGCTGTGGGCGGTACATGGATATGCTTATTAAGTAAAAATAATTCGATATTTAATTGTTGTAAATTAAATATTTGTTTTCATTAGGGTTTTGATTATTGAGTACATTACGTATGAAAATACACATATCAAGAGTAAATTAATTGAAATGTTTAGGTACTTAATACTCTACAATATAATTAGAAAATAATATCTATAGTTTATCACATTTAATCTATCAGTACTTCATAAYTTTTTTTTTTTAGAACCTTTAGTTATTACTTTATAATTATCGTTAGATTTATAGTTACTTATCTAATCAATTATTACAACCAATGATTGCTATTTTTCATTAAAATTTTCGTTTTTACAATTTTACTACTATTTGTTGAAAACGAATAGATATAGTGCTTGGTTAACACTGTACTGTATAGTAGGATTAGTTTCCAGCATATTTTGAATACTTAGGTATACCTAGTTCTAATTATTCTGCGTTTCATTCATCTAAATGAAGCACTATAGTACGTACATCCATTTTTCCTTATTCGCCACAAAATTACTATTATATAACTCTTCACCTACAGGCCACAGGATATACATTAATCTAATAAACTAATGCTAGGTTGAATGAACAATTTAGTGGTCCAATAAAATTTAATGAGCCAATCATATATCACTTAATTATGTTTAAGAGATCACTAGCTCACTATTGATCCGTTAAATTTTTAGAGATTGTTCATGCAACCTGGCATAATAATGATATTAGATGCGGATGATGAATGATAATCATACTTTGTTTTGGTGACAAATCTAATAGATTATTAATTGCATTTATTTTATTTTTAAATAGTATTTAGTAATGACCTGTTAGTATTTCATTTCTTCCAAGGTTGTAGGCCATGGCGAAGGGTCGTTGTAGATTTCGCTATATAGAGGTATATGTATAAGCGAACACAACGCTTTTCAGCCTTTCATCATCGGAGAGATCGGTAAAACGCACGCGTCTCGAGTTAGTTTAAATATTAATGGGATTAAAATATATAAAGAACGATTGTAATAAATTAAGGGACAAAAATCAAAAAGGTCAGAAAAAAAACGGTTTCGTCAAAATAACGCGCGCRCACCACAACACACGCGGTCGACGAGGACAAACGTCTTTCTCAATAGTCACAGCGATACTGTACTGCTGTCTACAGAAGCGCTGGCCGCTGAGGCCGCGTGCGTGTTTCTTTTCGCCGGCTTTCAATTTTTTCAACCTCCCACCGACTGACGCGACAACACGACCGGCGGCGTTGTTATGTTATAATAATAATAATGTTTATTCGATGCCMCGGCAGTGGTAGCTGACTGCTGTGACGATATTGTCATTGTGTGCGCCACCTACCAGTGCCGGTGTCGCAGGTTTTTAATACCCTCAAATATTTTTACTGGGGG